GGTTGCGTTCCGAAAATAACCCGTGATAGGCGAAATCCATTAAGTAGTTACCTTTATTTTTTATAATTTTTACACAGCATAATTGTAATACATAATACTCTCCACAGTTTTTTCTTCCAGCAAGCATTCAAAGTTTCAGTTTCCATCTCCTGAATGGCCAAACTGTATTACTTATATTTAAATACCGTAACTTTATTGGAACTCAGGTAGAGAAGAAGCGCGGAGACTGTTTTTGCTAATCATACGGTCAATCAGGACGCAGAACACAATGCACTGTGAAAAAAAATGGCACAAAAAAAAATCTGCAAAGCAGCGAGACCGTGAAAGGTGAACTGAGTCATAGTGAGGGTTCATTGTATATGAAATAATTTATAAAAAGCAACTGAGTAACTTGTAGAATGGCTGTATATCTGAGTTTATCTAGGTGTATCTGGGACTTCATTCTCATGCCTGGCCTCATAATGCTTCAACATTGGAAAGGCGGATTTATATAAATAAGACAGTTTAGTCAAACATATGTGACACTTAACCTAAAGAATATAATATGAAAGTAAACTAAGAGTCAATTTCAGCTGAATTTGGATTCAGATAGATCAAGTAGAAACTTACAAGAACCAGATGAAACAACACAATGAAAACAAATTTACTTTCCAAAATGGTTCCACACTGCGGAAACCTTTCGTTTGAGGATGCTCCATAGTTGATGCTGTAAAAGGTTAAGAATTCGTTTGGCAAATGCATTTGACAAGTTGACAGATTCACTTCCTTATAAACACAGCTTGGCGCCTTAATGTTATTTCGAAACAGTTCCTGTATCAGTCACGTGATTTGCTAAAGCAATATGCGCACAGACACCGGTTTAGGACACATGCGCCAATGCATTGGTGTTGCCGGACCCATCACTACATATGTTAACTATTTATTTAACACACCAACAAAAATGACAAATGTATCCAAATCAACTAATAAATGTTTTACTGAAACTAAAGAGTTGTTGTGTTTGTATGAAAAAATAAGTTGTGCATAAAAAGTTACTGACTTCAGAGTGTGGCCATGGATTTGGCCATCACAGATGGGAAGATGGTTGGAGCCAACTACAGAACCATTCTAGAAGAAAACCTGTTGGAGTCTGCAAAAGACCTGAGACTGGGATGGAGATTTAACAAAACAATGATCCCAAACATAAAGCAAAATCTGCAATGGAATGGTTCACAAATAAACATATCCAGGTGTTAGAATGGCCAAGTCAAAGTCAGACCTGAATCCAATGGAGAATCTCTGTTTCCTGATTGTGGGGAGTCATGGGATGACGTGATGTCATCGGAACATACCAAGTGTTTTCTATAAAATTGATTATTGTATTTTTGATCACAAGTTTATTTATATATATTTATATATATTTTCTTTTTTCCTTTGGTTTTATTCATTTGTTTACTTTTAGAGTTTACTTGAGTTTGAAGTAATTGTTTAGTTGTTTTTACTTGCTTGTTTTTGCTGTGGGAGGAGCCTGTGGCTTTAAAAGCAGGGCTCCTGACAAGTCACACTGAAGGTGATGGACTCCTGTATTGAAGCTACTGTTTGTCTGACCTGCTTTGGATGTCCTCTGTACTAGTGATGGACAACTGAAGCCTCATGAAGCGATGAAGCTTTCCAACCCTTTGCTTTGCAAAATGGTTCATTACTTGATGCTTCATTCATCACTCACTAGTGACATCTGCTGGTGAAACTGTAACAGCCTTGTCACTCAGGTGGATCATACTTCCAAAAATTACTAAATGCAATATTGTCACAAAGTTTTCATCAAACTCATGTTTAGTAACAGGAGAATCAATGAAACCGTATTTAATTGTCATATCAATCAATCAATCAAATTTTATTTGTATAGCACATTTCAGCAGCAAGGCATTTCAAAGTGCTTTACATAATTAAAAATACAGCATGTGACATTGAATAAACAGTAAGAAAGAGAGAGATTTTGAAAAAAAGATTAAAAAAGATAAAAACATTAAAACCCACACCCATTTTAGGACTTCAGTTAAAAGGGGTGTAATATTTTAATAATTAAAACAAACGTCGTTTAACTGGGTTAAACAACGTTTGTTTTAATTATTAAAATTATTTGTTGCCATTCTAATCCTGGTATATGTTGAACATCAGTGGTTGTGTTGGGGTTTCTTTTATGCCATAGACGGATTTGACAATAAAGACATTTCATGTTTTAATGTCTTGGGAGTGCAGTGTCTGTTGGGGCGTTCACTTTTTCTTGGATTTCTAATTGGCTCTGATCCCTCATATTTGGCGACATGTTGAATTTTAGTTCTGCAACAAGTTTAAATTTTTCTGCTGTGCAAGACTGATATATCTTTGCTAATCAGACTACAAATAATGGTGGAACTTTGCAGAAGGTGAGAAATTGGGAAGTGGAGGGTTAATTATTGTTATCTAAGAAGAATTTTATTGTGAGGATAATCTCAAAGTATTCCCAGATGCAGTGGCGCAACTACACATTATTCAGGTGAATGAGAAAACATAAATCGGCACCCCCCTTATCTCTCTCTCCCCAGAAGGAAGGTTGAAGGAGCGTGGAAAACATACGCTCGCTCTAACCCACCCCGGAGAGGAAGTTATGTGAAGGGTAAAACTCGCTGCATTTACATCACGTGCGCGAGGTGAAGGAGCGTAAGGCACGCTGAAGTGTATGGGAAAACTTGATCGGCGTGCCGCTCCCTCCAGACGGGGTTTAGACACCCCCTCTGGTGCTGCGCCCCTATACGTTGCATGCGCTGCTAGCCCTCTTTTGCGCCACTGCCCAGATGTCAGAAATTTTACTCTTGCTAGCTCCATTTAAGACAATCAATCAAGTTTATTTGTGTAGCATATTTCAGCAACAATGCAGTTCAAAGAGATTTACATCATAAAATCACAAAAATATAGTTATAAAAAACCCAACATAATCTATAATTGAGAAAACCAGTAACAAACAATACATTTTGATGAGTGCCATCATCAGTACACATCAAATATGTTGGTCAATGTTCAGTCTTCCACCCGGGAGACCCGTTGTGTATATATACACTGCTCAAAAAAATAAAGGGAACACTCAAATAACACATCCTAGATCTGAATGAATGACA